AATGTGTGTGTGTGTGTGTGTGTGTGTGTGTGTGTGTGTGTGTGTATATGAGAACGAATCCGCGTTTGCAGTCATGTCATCACTCTGAACATGAATTAATAATGACGCCGGCTCCATAACAATAAATGAGTCGCCCGCATTACACATCAATCATCTTTCAGTGATTTATACCCTACAATTTGAACCCGTTGGGGTCAATTTATTAGGTTGCGCGAAATTCTGCAGAATGAATCGAAAAACAGAAACATTTTTGAAATTGACTTGAAATGATAAACTATAAAGTGTTTTACTGAAGTAGACGGTCTTTATTTGCTTCAACTGAATTATGTTAATGATGTTCTGTGGGACGTTTGGAGGCTTTCCAATGAGCTAAATTAATGGACTGACTACAAGACAACGGGCCCTTCAGCTCTGTGTACCCTCCTGCCTTATAAGAGCGATATCTTATTTCATTTTTATTTATTTATTAATTTAGATTTTTATTTTCATCTTTACTTTTTTATCTTTATTTATTTTATTTTATTTTATTTTCTATTTATGAATTATTATTTTTGTAGGGAATCATGAATGGAAACACTGTGCAGCGTGTTGCTGCAATCATTAGGAGCACGGTTATAAAATTAAAAATAAATCATAAGTGTGAAGCATGCTTCTCCATTGTGTTGTTGATCTTGTCCAGCTGTTGAACACTGTTTTGTGAAGTGTGCCTTAAAGCCTCCGTAGAGCTCACACAGTCTTTAGCCAATCGAGTTTCCGGCCCTAAAATTGGGTCTTAATCTCGCGCTGTCTATTTGGCACTGTGATTGATGTCCTCGCGCGGTAGAAGAAGGGGGGCGGGGGGGAAACAGTCCAGCCTCGGTTCTTGTGCCTTCACACACACAGACGGACGTACACACGTGCGCCCACACTACAGATAACGACCGGAGCTCGAGCGGAAGGAGCCCAGTATACGTAAAAGAGTCCAGGGGAGCGGCGCGTGGAGCGAACTCTGTTCCTCGCGCCGGAGCTGGAGGGGCTCGCGGAAGGCCATGGACCACATAGGGATACTGGGGGCGCATCTGCAGCAGCACACGCACGTAGAGCCCATCAGCTTCGGAATTGACCAGATCCTCAGCAACGTGGAGCAGAGCTGCATGCTGGGCGCGAGGATGCACGAGCCGGACTACGGACATGGGGCCTACAACTGCGGCGCAAGCAACGGCGTGAACAGCGGCGGAAGCGGCGGTGGCGGCGGCTACACATACGGTAACGCCGGATACAATGGCACCGGCAGCTCGTGCGGGATGGCCTCCCTCGGGGGGGCTTATCACATGAACATAGGCGTCAATGCGAACGGGACTAACGTTAGCTCCGCCGGGGTCATCCGGGTCCCCGCGCACCGTCCTCTAAGCTGCGGAAACTCCTCTGGGCTGCCGGTGAGCGGGAACATCAACAACCTGAACGCGCTCACGTTCCCCTGGATGGAGAGCAACCGGCGTTACACCAAAGACCGGTTCACAGGTAGCCATATAATGTAATAGGCCTACATAGGCCTACACATAACAGCATAATATGACATGTGTCAAAGTCAGTCCAATAAATTAAAAAATACAATACAATACGATATAAAAAATAAAATTAAAATAAATCAAATTAAAAAATTATACCTCCTGTATAATGTTATATATAGGATTATTTAAAATACAAAACAATATGTTTAGAAAATACAACTGCAGCTGCAGCCTTTTGTTGTAAATGTTCTTTAGCAAAGCCGATATTACTAATGACCTATTATAATTAAATTATAGCCCATAATAAATTATGTGTGTATCTCAATTTGCTTGCGTGTTAGTGAATCAGTGATTAATGACTCAAGATAAGTCAGTCATTTATTTGAGGTCGATGAAGACTCACACATGTTCTACATCAATTGGAAATCTAAGGGAGCCCGTGTCACGTTGCATAATTGTTTGGTTTTTCTTAACTAAAATAATTTAACTTAAAAATAATAAGTTGGAAAAAAACGGGAAAAGGTTATTTCCTAAGTTGTTGTTTTCTCCATAGTTAACTTGTATTGTTTATTGCTGCTTTATTTATTGCTTTTCAGTACAAAAAAGAAACAACCGTTATATTAAGAAACTCAACATAAACCAAACTGCTATTATGTTTATAATTTTACTGAAATCGGTTTAAAGTCATTAAAATGTATGATAATAAATGAGTTTGATAGGATTTAATGAGTGAGGGAACACTTGTTCCTTGTCAGCAGTACTACAGTATCACTGTAAGATATTGTAGACTGAACTCTATCTTGAATATTAGTATTATTACCAATTTAATGTATAGACTGCCAGTATTCTTTAAGGGTGTTATTTGACACGTGGTATTTCGTGTGTGTGTAAATAATGTTCTGGAGACAGTGTGCTGTGAAATCTGTCTCTTTATTACTTTGAAAGCCATTATATCAAAGGTTAAACTGATACAGTGTCAAATGTAAGCCCTTTCTGACTTGACTGGCTTGTGTTGACGTAGTAATAATCAAAGTAATAAATTATTGTGATCAATTATTTCATAAAACATTTGCCTGTATGCAGAAAACAGGTTCTCCACTTTGATCAGACCTATGCCGTGGGTTAAATATATATACATATATAAACACAAGTTCTGTTGACGTTTTTCGGTTATGGATTTAATAAATAATGTTATAATATAAGAAATAAGCCTAAATAATAGAATACAATGAAAAAAACACACAAAGGTTTTATGTTAATTTTAAAAAAATATAAAATGACTACATTGAATTTTAAAACAGAAACCGTTGTAAATTAAATTACAGGACATGGCTGTGCTGTAAACACTATTTAACACAAGGTCTGTCAGCGCTCTCACTCATTTTCTGTCTGGTTGACCTAAATACCATGCTTTGACCTGTCCTGTCTTGTCCTGTTCTGACTATACTGCCCTCACCTGTCCTGTCCTCCTGTCATTTCCTTCCCTGTTCTATTCTGTCTTATACTGTCCTGTTCTCTACTGTCCTTTCCTGACTTTTACTGTCCTGACACTACCTGACTAACCTTACCTTTCCTTCCCTGTCTTCTGCCCTGAATTGTACTGTCCTTTCCTGTCCTGTGCTGTGCTGTCTGGACTTATACTGTCCTGACTTGTATTGTCCGTTTCTGTCCTCCTGTCCTGACTTGTACTGCCCTGTGCTGTCCTGTCCTCCTGCGCTCTTTCTATCCTGACCTGACTTTTATCATCCTTTCCTTTCCTGTTTTGTCCTTACTTGTTCTGTCCTGTCCTGTCCCGACATGTACTGTCCTGACTTGCACTGTCCTTTCCTGTCCTGTCCTGTCCTGACTTGTACTGTCCTGATTTGACCCGACTTGCACTATCCTCTCCTGCGCCATCCTCCCCGTCCTGACTTGTCCCGTTCTCTCCTTTCTCGTCCCCATCCTCCCATCCCGCCCAGTATCCCTCTCACCCCTCACTGTGACGCGTCGCGTAGGTCACCCCTACCAAAACAGGACGCCCCCGAAGAAGAAGAAGCCCCGGACGTCCTTTACGCGGCTGCAGATCTGCGAGCTGGAGAAGCGCTTCCACCGGCAGAAGTACCTGGCTTCGGCAGAGAGGGCCGCCCTCGCCAAAGCCCTGAAGATGACCGACGCCCAGGTCAAAACCTGGTTCCAAAACAGACGCACCAAATGGAGGTGAGGTTTGTTTTTTTAAAGCTTTTACCAATGCATTCTATACTGAGCAGATGCCTAAAGAGGCTCTGCATTCTGGAGGCCCGGTTGGCTCCTATAAGGGGCCCTCTCATTTTAACGGGGCTCCAGGAGGTCCCTTTAGTCCCTGTTCAGACTGTTTTCATCGTACGCTTACTTCCCACCAATGTGGTTTTCTGATTTCTAATTTGTGCCCTTACAGTTCAATGCACTTTCACACACAGTCTTAACAGCAAATAAACAAATATTCACTTAGCTGCCACTTAATTAGCTAAAGCTAATGCTGTCTAATGAAACATCCCTTCAATTACTCCTCATTCATGAGGCTTCTTATGTTCATTTTTAACTTTCTGTTATTTAGTCCACCCTGGTTGATATAAATGTGGTGGACAAAATACTAGAAACACCTGATTTATTGCGGGAGTGTTGTAGACTGCATGAGTTTTAGCTAGCTGTATATGCAACAATGGTCTGAACTCTGACTGTATAGAATTCTTCAAATGGACATTTGCTGAATGTAAGGAAGAGACTGGTCCACACGCACTACACAATAAAATGGAGTAAATACAATGTCAGTTAGAGCAATAAAGGCTCAAATAGCTCCACACGTTTCTGAGAGGCAGAAAGAAAACACAGTGCTGGTTTTTAAAAAAGGAAGACAAATTGCTCACTTAACTCTTATTTCCTGCAAATCATTCGTCAAAAAGGAATGTGCTGGTTAGTAAAAAAATAAAATGTGTTTTTCATGCTCTTGTCAATTTTGAGATTCAGGGTTATTTATCTTTCATTACATTGTCTTCTTTCAGACTAATGGAAAGAAAACATCCAAAATACACATTTAGGTGTTTATTTTACTACTTTGTGTCTGTACATTTCCCCTAAATCCACCAAAAGTTACCAAACACTGCCTCATTTGCATATTTAAATATAAAATGTCTGATAACATACAAAAAAATAATTGCCTTTATGTAGGTAATCAACTGTGGAAGTTTCATAGTGATATCTATTAGTTTTTAGCCCATTCACCTGTATTCATTTTTACAATACATATCTTTCAAGGCTGTTTTCTCCAAATACCTTTTCGCTCATACTCTACCAAAACGTTCCCTATTCATTCCTATCAATATTCTGAAGGTTTTCACAGAGGAGTTTGTTCATATGTCGTACTAAACGTACTAAAATCCGCACACATTTAATAATAATACCTATTCAAAGATAATACCTAATTTGCATATTCAATCTTACATTTCCAGAAGACCTGTAAAACAAGAAATACTTGTCTCAATGTAAATAATCACCTGGGGAAGTCTAATGGCAATATCTATTATTTAATTATTTGTTTACCTGCAGTGTCTCCCCTTATAATCCTAAATGGATTCAGCATATTCAATAAAACAAATGTTGAAGTGCGAAATTACATTCTGGTATAATAAAAGGTATAAACGAGTCTTCTTAAAAAGACTGCAATTTTACTCTTCTTCTTTTGTGCACATAAACATACCCAGGGCACTCAATAAGAATCTAGGAAAATGTTAACAAACAGATGTCTGTTTGTTTGTTTTTTGATTTATTTACTTTCTAAGAATTATGAGAGATGGAGTGACTGATTTTGAAAATATTACAGTATTTATCCTCTGTTCTCTTGAACTGATATCCACTTGCAGCGGTGTGTAAGATCCTGCCCCTGCAGTGCACGCTATTATGACGGACCCTACACACGCACACACGCACACACACACACACACCATCGTATTGTCATGTCACATGATCAGTTGGAGACTTGAAATTAGCAACATCAACATACCTAGCAATCATCATTGCATATGACAAACAAGAATCAAAGAAGTGAAGAAATTATTCTTTGTTTTCGTATTTTACTTGTAGTTTTTATAGTTTATTATTTTGTTGTAGATTGCTATTGACTATTTAACAAAAAAAATGGAGGCAGGTTTGCCTTTTAAGGGAATATACAGCAAATGGCACCCATTCATACAGTTTTGTCTCTTCGCATATTATGAAATGTCGAATTTTTACAGTTTTGATTTCGAAACAAACAACGCCTGTCTTTTGATCTTTTTTATTTTCGATGACAATGATAATGCTATGGAAATTGTAATAACTAAATTCACGGACTATGAAAATCATTTCATTCTGTGCACTGCACCGTCAAACTGAAATAAACTAATCGGATAATCGGTTAGTTAATTAACCATAACATGAGAACACTAGGCCTACAGAGATAACAGTGAGTCCACTATATAGGCTATGAGGTTGTTATAATATTCGGATTAATATACATTATATTCGCCTTGTGTCGGTCCGGTGTGTGAACGGCTCCGCGGTGTTTCCCTGTCGCTGTTCGCAGGCGGCAGACTGCGGAGGAGCGCGAGGCGGAGCGGCAGCAGGCCAACCGGATTCTCATGCAGCTGCAGCAGGAGGCTTTTCAGAAGACCATCAACCAGCCGCTGACCCCGGACCCGCTGTGCCTGCAGAACAGCTCGCTGTTTGCCTTGCAGAACCTGCAGCCGTGGTCTGAGAACACCGGTAAGATCAGTAGCGTGTCGGCTTGCGAGTAGAGCTGCACGTCATCCGCCGGTATGCGGCAGAGACATGCGCCGCGGGCCCCGCTGAGGTGCCCCCGCGCAGTGGAGACCCGATCTTGGCTTTCGGGTTATCTTTCTGCTCTTATCACACATACACTGGTGCTGCAGCTAACAACAGCTTCAGACGGGGTCCATCAGCACCACCCATCTAAGGTCCACAGTCTGATCTGGATCCCATAAGAGGTCTTTAGCCCTGTAGACTGACATTTTTTGGAAATATTTCGGAGTCATCATGATGAACAATATACAGTACTCCATAAAAGTGCAACAAAAAAAGGCCCCCGAGAGGACCAGGACAGACTGGCATCAGTGAGTTGTTGTATCATAGTTGACCTATAAGGGACTTGATGTTTCATAAACAGCATATTTTCATATTTGTGTACATCAGCGTCAGTCTGTGTTTATCCGCCATGTTTATGTCCTTTTTTTTACTGAACTGCAAAATAACAGCACTTGTTTTTAGCACCTTTGTATATGAATTCAAACACAATCTATCAGAAATGCAAGAAGGAACCCCATGAGATGATTTACAGCAATGGACCAGGATATCTGTCTATTTGACTCTTTTTTAATAATTTAGGGAGAAATGGGCCACAAGCTTCAGATTAAAATACAAATCATATTAAAAGACACAGTTGAATACATTTCACATTCCTATGGACTCTTATTTTTTTACAAACTGTATTTTCCTATGTTGTGTGGAAGCAGATCTCAGACCTGTGAGCTGAGACTAAACACAAACAAAGACCAGTGGTGTGTGAGTGTGCGTGTATGCTTCAAACGATTGCATTCATACTGATGACAATAATATATTTTAGACACTGAAATTAATTTAGTTCTCCCTAAATTCAAAGTCTATCTAGCATTTTCAGCCATATGTTACTTAGATTTTTTAGAAAATACATTTTTTATCAAATGTTTATGTCCATGCCGCATATAGATTTGGTCACTCTTGAGTAAACCTAAAGGCGAAAAAATTGTTCCTTGTTTTCACTGTTAATTTTTCACTTACTGATGTTTTCCTATGTTTTTGATCATCTGGCACAAAACACAACTATAAACATGACACATTATACATATCTTACAATAATGACAATAAGCAAGATGTGTCCAGTCTTGAAGTTGCAACACAAGGCAGCTTTGTGTTCATATTTAGAAAACAACAGAGTAAAACAGCCATTGGTGAGAAACACCGGGACGCAAAACCAATATAAACAGACAACACCAAGGCTGGTTGACTGCAGGTTCCCACATTTTACAACTTTCTTTAGAAACGTGGAAGTATGCAGCAGTAAAGTACAATAATGACTGGCTTGATAAGAAAACCTGCAACAACAAATTATTATGCCGATAATCATCAAAACATGCTTAAAGGAACAGTCTGTAGCATTTAGGCATTTATTGTCAGGAATGGAGTATAATAATGATTTCACATAAGAATGGTGTTTTCGTTACCTTAGAATGAGCCGTTTATATCTACATATATGGAGCTGGTCCTCTTCACGGAGTCCGCCGTGTTTCTACAGTATAGCCCAGAACGGACAAACCAAACATCGGCTCTAGTTGGGGCCATTTGCGTTTTTCGGCCACTCACAACCTCACTGTTGGTGGCGCCAAATCATACACACAGTCCCTTTAAAACTCCTAAAATAGCACTAAAACATACCGGAATCACTTTAGTATATATTTTGTTAAAATAACAAATAATTGTATTGCACCACAGACAAATCATTTTTTTTAGTGAAAACCATTGTTAATAACCTAGTCTCACTCCCAGGGTGTCAAATATTGATGCTCGGTCAGTGGCCCGCGGTGTTTTAATACCCTCATACGAGACCCTTTAGAGTCTGTATGATACATACCAGGCTTTCAACTGAATAGTGTAAACTCGCCTGCCTCACTATTAGATGCTCAGAGGAACTGACGTAGTGTTAAGAGTGAGAAGTCCTCTAAGGGTGGGTGTGACAACCAAATCCAGGACTTTCACTCAAGAGACCTCTGTTCGTGTCCCATGTGAAATCCAAAGCTGAGTGATTTTTACTGCCCACATTATGTCACATGACATTATGTTCATGTGATGAAACGCCCGAGTTGCACAATATTCTACATACCGAGCTTACGTTGCAATCGTATTATTTTAAGCCATATCATGTTTTTTTTCTAACCCTAAGTGGTTTTGTTGCCTAAACCCAATGCCATCGTTTTCACAACATTAACCACGTGCACAACGTTAACTGCACGAACCAGAGAAATATGAGTTGAGATGAGATCATGTTGCTCTTTAGTTAAGACCAAACTATGTCAAATAAAGGTCCTCCTGCATTAATAAAGGATAATTAAACAGTAACATTGTGTGAGTCTGTTCTTTCTTATGTGATAATTCCTGTATTTAAGTGCGAGGAAATTCACGATTATCCCGTTAATTGAAATCCACCACCATCAACTCTGCTTTTTATTATGATCTGCAATATAATTCTGTATTGTACCATCATATCATAATTGGCATTTTCTGGAAACCAAGAGATACATTGAATGTGGATGTTTCAAAACCATAAATACGTTTCATGTCAGCCTCGTATCATGCTTACAAAACCACACAATGGCACGTGGGTAACGTTGTGAAACGATTGGCTAGGTTTAGGCAACAAAACTACTGTCATGGTTTGTGTTATAATGGTAACATAACAGGTAACAGCGTAACGTGACACAACATGATGCAAAAATGTGACAACATAACAAGTGTAAATCAATAACCACCTTTGCAGACTTTCTCATGAAACGTTACGTAACAGGCGTAAAGTCAACATTTTATTTTTTAGTAAAACGTCCTGTTTGTTTGACCCATCCACCACCACCACCACTCATTAGAGTTTCTCGCTTGTTATACTCATTATTATACCATGTAACTTTCCGCACTCGATATACTACATCACTTGCTCTGACCGAATGCACAAACGTCCACATTCAATGTATCCATGGTTTTCAGAAATGTACAATACACAATATCTCCTGGGCTGTGACATGCTTCTAATGCGTCTCTAATGTTGATGTGTTGATGTGAACCAACTCAGATTTTTTGGCTCATTTTACAAATGCTGCTCATATGTTCGGAAATTCCCATACGATGTGAATGTGAACGTGAATCCAACTTTTCAAGTAATCTAACCATCCCATTCATCACAAACTGGTCTGTGGCTGTGGATGGCTGAAAAAGTGGCATTTTGAAGTGCAAAGCACTGGTGAGGAAAGATGACAAGAAACGGGTCATTCTGCAGGAGAGTCAGCTCCCAGATATATAAGGAGTGTGTGTGTGTGTGTGTGGGGGGGGGATGTTTCAGTTTTGAATGTGACAACGGTTTCCGTTTCCCTTTTCTTTCCAAAAAAATTCAGGAGGATGAATGCTGTACACAACATTGTTTTCCTTTGTTGCTTTCTTACTAGTTACATTTTGATGCATATCTATAAACATTCTCTGATGAAAAAAATATAGAACCTTGTTTTTTGCCCAAACACTTTTTAGGTGTGTATTGGAGTTGGCAGTGCATGCTGAGCCAGCTGTTTGGCAGTGTGTGTGTGTGTGTGTGTGTGTGTGTGTGTGTGTGTGTGTGTGTGTAGTGTGTGACGTGACATTCTCCAGGATTGCTTTCTAAAAGGTTGAAGAGAAATTTAAAGGAGAATTTCATCATCCACTCAGAAATATCTGGACTAAGCCACTGGAGTTGAGCTAGGCTGAAACCTCCTGGAATTCCTCTCACACACACACACACACACATGGTTTCACCCTGGGGAGAAAAAGTGGTCACTCACCAGAGCTGATAAAGATGAAGAAGTTGAGAAAAATATATACCACTCTGCATGGTACATATTTTTTGTTATAGTTCTTTCCCTCTCAGTATTTGACACAGTGTGTTTACATGAACATGAAAAACTGTTCATGATTGTTTTTTGGACTATCCTGTTTATATGTTTATACATAAACACTATATCCCGTTTTCAGAAATCAGGATAAGCCCTTATCCTGTTTATGAGAAACCCGAAACTGTAGAAAGCTGTAGCTGTACTACATGCAACCAGGATGCTGTTGCATGTAATATATATTTATACATGTGTACCTTATGTAAGAAGTGGACGTAGTCGTCGTGACGTCACCCATTGGTTTTTGGACTGCCATTTTGAAGCCTCGAGTTAGGCATTTTGGCCATCGCCATCTTGGATTTTGCAACCAGAGAATGAAAGTGACCATATATTGACTGGAAGAGTGACGCTGTGATAGAGACGGCATATACGGCTCTGGTAGCATTGACACCCTGTCAATGACAGTAAGCACGCCCTAAAGCACACTCTGCTTTATGGTCTATTTTGCACTAAATGGGACCATACTTTACTAAACATCATGCTGTATTGAAGAAGTCTTGAAGCGATTGGTTGATAAACTTATTTTTACAATTTTTACTGAGGTAATAAATCCAGTGAGTAGGGTAATTTTCTCATTAACTTCTATACAATCTGACTTCTTTTTGCAACCAGAGTTGGGTGTACACCTGCAGCACACCGTGTTCTGGAATTTGTAACTTTATTAGCGAGTAAACAAATTTTATTTAAGTGGAAACACACTTTTCCCCCCTCACTAAATAGTAAGCTCAAGCAGATCCTAAATCACATCAAACAAACTTGGAGGGATTAGATTTGCACCTACAGACCCAAGTGGGCTAAGTCCTTTGCCAAGACCTGGAAGCCATATATTGAATATCTGAATAAGGCTACCATTTGGATATTGATAAACTGATCCAAGTCATCAATCAGGTTTGGTGTGAAACCATAAATGTCTTTTTTCATTCCTCCAAATCACGTATTATAATATAAGTACATGCAGAGTTTCTATATATGAAGCTATGTCTACTGAAGTTCAGTCAGTAAAGCTTTAAAAAATATAAAATATCATAACAATGGGACCGACATTTTTACACTGTATTTAGGGATTTGTCTCCACCTACTGGCGTCGAATATACATTACATCCACTGCCTTGTCGACATTTTCCGTCGCTAGGTGATGATGACATTGAGCGCGACACACAACGACAACAACATAGCTCTAGTTGTGTAAGCGTCCGAGGAGGACAGCAGAAAGAAAGGTCTCTGCAGACATGTCTCTTCTGCAATTATGTGCTCCGGCCAGCAAACTTGTACTGTCCAAGAGTTTATTTACTGAGTCCGTCTTTACAGGTCAGTGTGTGTGTGTGCGCGTGCTATTAGCTAATGTAGCCTCTTTTGTTGTGAGTCAAACGCTAGTTACATTTACAAACCTGCTGTTTTAACATTTATACGCCCTACAGCGTGTTACAGAATGACTACCTAATGGTTAATGTTGTGCCATAATGCTAAACATGGATATTCATCAAAGTAACGTTAGCAAAGGGCATATCATAGCTGGGCCATAGTGTTAGTCTTTTACCGGGAGCACTGTTCCTACGTTGTGCCGCTGGCTGCCGACTACTGAGCCATCTTTTATTCTGAAATCCCCGCCATCCGTGTGGTCTCCCGTGTGTCTCGAGCAGGTTTTTCCCGTGCAGCCAGCGGAGCGGTGAAGGACAAGGAGCCGCTGAAGAAAGCGAAAACTCCGCAGGGTCGGTTTGACGGCCCCGAGGGGGCGAGCCAAGCTGCTCTGCAAAGTGAGAACCAAGAAGGGGGAACTTTTCTGTCTTTTTAATTAAGGCTAAAACTAAGACCCAAAAAACAGAGAATATCAAACAAAACAAATTGTAGAAGGGCGAGAACAAATAAACAGTATTTCTGTGGGATTTGTATTTTCTTCCAATAAATAAATAAAAACAATTCCAATGATTGAAATTAAGTGTGTTAAGTAATGATAAGTAACCGCTGCAGTTCTTCTTTTACTGTGAATGGACACAATCATGGAATTCCTCTATTTATCTCATTGCTGCCTGTTTAATAGACAAAAACATCATGAAGAATGTTACTAAAACTGGCATTTCTTACAAATTACAGCTTGTTAAAGGTTGTATTGACAATGGGGAAACTAAATGTGTCAAACTAAAAGTGTATTGTCCAATTCACATTTCAATAAAATAATGTTGTTGGTTAGCCTGCTGGCATCGGCCACGACAGACAGATCAGTTGTTAGTGGACCTTGAATCCCATATCAGTGCAATCAGTGGCGGGCCGTGTATTTTATAACCTGGGCCTTCAGTGCTGTCCTACTACAGTTGAACCACCTCCTAATAACCTCATTATGACGCCAGCATGACGGGATGCTGCGTCATTAACGGGCAATGCATATAGTCAAAATCAATGTAATTAACACAATGACAAGAACCAGTCACATATATTTATATGACAACAAAGCAGGTACAATAACATAAAACCCAAATAACGCGATTCAACAGGCCTCTGCACATTCCAGCAAAACTGTGATGCTAAAACATGCATTCCGCCACACACTCAAGGGCACGGGCCATTCAAATATTATTCACATGAGAGAGAACAATATTAACCATATCATAAAAATTACACAATTAACAAAAAAATGAACACAGTAGTAACGCTACTGCAGATGTTTTAAAAGAAATACACTTACCAAAGCTGCTGTTCACTATTTAAAGACAAAGTCCATCCTCCTTTCTTTGATTACAAAGAGTTTACTGCCACAGTTGTACAGTACATTGTTTCAGTTCCAGCAAGAGGTCCTTCTCGATTCATGGCACTGATGGACTGATGACAGTCGAGCCTCCCCAGTTGTATTTCTTGGATACGTTTTAATGCGTTTGAGAGCTGAAAATGTCCGCTCGACAGAGGCAGCAGATATTGGGATTGTCACCGCCAAACATGCCAAAACACTAAAAATGTAATGTCAAGTAAAAACTTCTTACATATCTTTAAACTTTAACTCTTACTACTACAAAGTTCTGCTAGCTAGCTTCACAACAGTCACGCTAGCCCACTGACCAATTAAGCAGCACGTTAACGCTGACGTACTTGTAGGCCAGCTAGAAGCTCTGGCATGTCAAAGAATACGCCCAACATGTCAAATTAAAAATCTGATTGGTTGAAGACGATGACAATCAACAATATCGCCCTCATTTACTTAAACTGCGAAGGGTAATTGTAATGCTGAAGGCCTCTGGGCAGATTTTTTTTACTTAGACACAGCATAGGGGCAAAATCTGATTGGATAAAAGCTCTACTTAAAACAAGCTGTGCCCACCACTGGTGTAAATGTAATAAAATGTGTATTTGCCTGCATGTGTTTATGAAGAATCTGATCATAATGCCTCATTATATACACACAAGGTTCACATTGTCCCATAGATAAACACAAACTGATTATTTTTACAGTAAATATACTCAGTTGCCAGTTATTTAGGTACACCAAGCTAAAACAAATGCAGTGTAATACAAGAGTCCTGCAGTAAATCCCCTCGTGATACTTCTAATGTTCATATCTGGTTGAAAGTGTTTTAGATGCTGTAGTTTGCGTAAGCAGTTGTGGGAGGAAAATCATCCTCACTAAAGCAGCATATTTTCAAGCCGAACCGTTCTCTTGTCGTTCTCCAGAGTTCCCCGATGACGTGAACCCCGCAACCAAGGAGAAGGGGGGTCCTCGGGGACCAGAGCCCACCCGGTACGGAGACTGGGAGAGGAAGGGCCGCTGCGTCGACTTCTAGTTCCGCACACATAAAAACATCATACCTATGTTATGGAGATGTATATTTTAAACTGTCGCCTGTTCACTCAAGTGTAAGATCAGGTGAGAATGAGGTTTGAACTGTTTCTGATTGTGACTGTATTAATACTAACAGGGAACACGTAGAACTGTCAGCAGACTAATGGACATCTTAACGAAGTAGATCCTGGCAATGTTTAAATTATTTAAAAAATGACAAACATTTGAAGCTCCAAGACATGTTTTGCACATTGATTGTGTTTGACCATGTGAGCTTACCAAAGGAATGTATCAAATACAACAATAAGTTAAAACCAGACATCTGTTTGTTTTTTTCCAGAATACTAATACTTTCAAAGACACAAATCCTTTTATTAATAAGTTACAGGTTTGTTTTTGCCATTGCCAAGACACAAAACAACTTGTACTTGTCGAAAAATCATTGAAACATTTAACTCCTGTAGCAGTGGTATGCTAAACCATAAGCGCATTATCTCTTTTATTTAGCAAATAACTACACTCGGTTATCTAAATTTGACACATTCAAAACTAAAAGCCTGTGTGTGTGTGTTGTTCCCTAACACCCCTAATGAAATACCCTCACATAATTACCAATGAACTGCACCCAGAATGCACCTGGGAAATCACCTGTAACCAATTGGATCGCTTAGAAATCAGAGCTTGTGTCTGATACTGTAATGAGTATTGACAATAAACAAATATTTCTGTTCTTCCTTTTGCATTTGTGTTCATAGTCTATATTTACAGTATGCTACAAATGAAAATTACTCTAGATAATAGCTTTTTATGCTTTGCACATCAGTGTGCAGGTGGCGTGTGGCGAGAGCTATTTATTTAGTGTGTGTGAGTTGTGACGCAAATATTCCACATTTATGAGTTTATATAGTTTTGAGATGCGCAAGAGATGTAAGATAGTTAGTGTTTTGTATATATGTTCTTGTTTTTTTTGTGTGTAGGAGGCCTTAGTTTCAGAAATTGTGTTTTCACAATTGTTGGGGGGGGGGGGGGGGGGGCTGCAATATATGAAGATGTATATGCACTTCTTATTTTGTCCGCTAAACAGCAGCATAGAGCCACATCTGCCTGCTGCTGTTTGAAATTGGATTTGTGTTGCCTTCAAATGCTATCAGCAATATTGTAATTCTGTGTATTTTCACCCCGCAAAGCAATACAAGTTGTATGAATGGCGCGCTCATGCAGTCAGGGTTTCAATACGAAGAAAAAGCACGAGTCTCTTCGTACGGTCCCTGTCATACATGCTAAATGTGCTTGCCGCTCGGTTCTAACACTCGTCTTTCTAATAAAGAAGGGTCACGTGTAGCAAATGTAACATGTAGAGTACGTGTCGGGTGTAACTAAATCTCAAAAATACAAAAGTCATGACATAAACGCCTGAAAAAGACGGAGTTGGAGGAAAAGCACATGAAGGCAGCACGAAGGACGAGGAAGGGGCGGGGTAAGGCTTCAGCAACAAAGCGGCTGTGAAGCTTCAACAATCGGACGCTCCAAGCTAAGCTAACGGTGTTAAATGTTGTGAGTACCCGCCATTTGTATTGTTCTGACACCGAAGCAGGGCTGTAGCTGCTGCTTGAGCGGGTTGTCAGTCAGCCTGCATGGGTTTTCGTCAAGTATCAAACGTTAACATGATTGGTCTGACAATTCCAAGTGTCAAACACTTAACAGAGATTTTATGAAAAGGAAGCTCGGCTTGGTGCATCAAAGGGATACCGAATTTAAGAGAAGATTCCATAGAATAATGAAAGGGCTAAAGTTTGATTCCATTGGTTATGAGCGTTTGTTGATAAGCAAACACCCATCCAATTACAAGACTTTTGTCAGTAAGTTTTTAATAGGTGTTGCACAATTTTTTTCAATCCTTGCAGAACCACCAAGCCAGACATCGTTGCTGCTGGTTATGTTTTCGGTTTGGTTCGTTTTTCAGCAGACTTGCTTAACAAATACTGGGCACATTTGCGTGAAACTTTTGGTGTAAGGGGGTGTAGCGTGGGGTCGAGAGGGAACCCGTTACATTCATGAGCGGGTTGGTATCGGCGCTTTCCGAGTGCCCACTCGCTATTCCAAATAAACGACTTTTTGTCAACGTTACACTGTCTGCTCTGAAGGACTAAAAGGGCTCCTCGCTTTGTGTAGGTCACTTGTGTTTGGTGTAACTGCTTTGTTGCCATGGTCTCTCCGACCACTGTCCCCTGTGTTTGACATATTATTAAGTGTGAGTCTCAAACATAAACGAATATCTAATGAGATGTACAGTGTTTGGGGCATCATGGGTAATGTGCTTCTGGTTGCCTGTTATTTTCTTGGAATGGATACATTTGCTGTTGCGAGGATATCCGATATGTATCTAACTTTATATCTTTCTCTGGCAATTTGCGGTCAAAGCAACTCATAGTTCCAGTCCAGGACTGGAGTATTTAAAGGACACTATTTAGACCTTCATGTTGGGGAAATAAAACACTTGCATTTTTCAGGTCTGTAATAATGTGTTAGGGTTTTATTAATAAGTTTCCATGTAAGACAGTTTGTAATCTGGTACTAACTATAGGAACTAAGTATGAATACTGTAATGGCTACAGTATATATCCCCCTGAAAGAAGGTGACCTCAGCATCATTTTAAAGCTGCAGTTGGTAACTTTTATGAAAATAACTTTTCATCTTATTTGCTCAAACGGTCACTATATCCCAGTGGCGGGCCATGCATTTTATACCTGGGCCTTCACTGCTGTCCTGCAGCTGAAACACCTCATTATGACGCCACAGCTATGGTTATTATTTGTTTTGTGTAAAAATGAAGCTCAACACCTATAAATACACTAACTGCAGAGTGCAGATACATGAATATGCTGAGAGTGTGTCTCGTCTCTGACTGCAGCTGGGACTGCAGCGCGAGGCTACTGTGAGAGTAGCCGGAGTGCTTTGGGGCGGCTCACAGCAGCACCCGCTGCTCGTTCACGACAGTTCAGAACGGTACGTGCTTTCACGTCAGAGTCAAAACACCAGAAAAGTCTCCAACAACACCAGAAAAAGTCGCTAGATTTGTCGCTAGTAGCTTTTGACAAAAAGAAGTTGCCAAGAGGGTTCGGAAAGTCGCAAGATTTAGCGAGAAAGTCGCCAAGTTGGCAACACTGGCACCAACTAAATGTGTCCCCAGCGCAACATTGAACGTAACAATAGTTCCTATCAAATATAAAACCAAACAAAAATCCATCTTCATAAAAAGTTGTACAAATAATAATATATAAACAAGCATATTAAAGCTACTTCACATGTAAAAACAAAAGCAGTTCACTTACCAAAGCTGCTGTTCACTATTTAAAGACAAAGTCCATCCTCCTTTCTTTGTTAACAAAGAGTTTAATCCCACGGTTGTTCAGTACATCCGTGCGTTTTAGTTCCAGTAAGAAGTTCGATAAATAACCAGGTATTTAAGCGTCTGCCTTTCTATTGCTTTTCGGTACACGCTAATACAAAAAAATGCTTGTTGAATTAAAAGAATTAAAGGAAATTATTTCCAACATTCTTTTATTGAACAAACTGAACTCAGACAGGTAGTCTCCCATTTCTGTATTTTCAGTAATGTTTTTGCGATTCATTTCAGCTTTCAGCATTCCAATGCATTTTCAGCAGGAAATGCATTTTGTAGTTGTATTTGAACATCAATGTTTTTTTTGCTCTGACCCATATGTGTCTGTTGCGCTGTTGTGAGTAGATTCAGATTACTATTCTTGTTTTTGATTAGATCTCCTGATTTAAATCCGATCACATGAACTGTATCTTTGTCTTTTGAGATCGGTCACTGTGTCGGATTAGGGCGACCATGAAGTCCTAAATTCTTGCCGGGACTTGTGTGATAAACATGGCAGACTACCCAACCCAGCATGCCATCTTTCACAACCCCTGTGAGACACACACAAAGCATCAGTGACATGATTTTAGAATACAAATTGAGTTCATGCTCGTTTTAATGTCGACAAAAGTCTCATAACAACGTGGTGTCAGTGCGCTCCGTTGCACATTAGTGTATGAGATCATGTTCATTTTGTTTTCCAATTCATATATTTTTAATTATATTTATTTTTTATAATTTTGTAACTTCCATCAGGTGATCCTTATGTAAACATGTCCAAACATTCAAATTTTGGTCGAAGTACTATTTTTACGTCAAAATGCTATTTTACGAAGGGACCATTACTGTTTTTGTCAATGCAGTCTGCAGCTTTGCAGAGAGCAAAATAAGGGCCTTAGTTCCCTGTCTATAAGGGCAGTCTGACGGCAAGGTAAAGCGGTGAAAATATTCTAAATATAGCGTACGCTTAAACTGACAGAATGTTTTTTTAGGTGGCTTATATACATTTTTCTGCTGCTCCCATCCTCAGCTGCTTTACCTCGCCATCAGACAGCCCCTTCTGGAGGAAGCCATTGTATCACTCTCTTAAAGGCCACCAGAATCCATTAACAGAAACAATCATTTTACCTTGCAGAACACATACTCCACAGAAATCCAAACTAACCCTTTAAGTTATTTCCGAATTCAGCACAGCTATAGCGTTGGCTTTCACACTATTCACAAACCTCTTGATTAGCTTTTTGCTGACACCTGAGTGGGTGTTTCATTTGACAAACCTGTAAAAGAATGCTGATGGAGTCGAATTTTAAATTCTTAGTAATTTTTGTATTTTTTATGGTTTAATGAATTAATTCAATAATTAGCTAAATCTTCTATTAAGTCCTGTTTCTGATGTTCTGCAGTAATGTATGGAAAACAGAAACATTTTGGTATCATATCAGCACTAATTTGGACAGCTGAGCCAGCACCTTTTTCTACAAAACATTACTAGCGTGAACCATAGTCTCTTGAGTTCTCGATGTGATGGTCCGCGGCTCTTGCTGCTCCACCACTGTGGACGGACAGTCACTCTTCCTCGTTGGTGCGGTGAGTGTGGGCAGGTCTGAGCATGCAGTCTTAATGAGATCGGTCAGGTGAGGAGCGAGCGTATCATTTCACAGCCTGGATCCGGCTGCTTAGTGATCTCACAGCAACAGGTAGAGACATTCCACTCTCTAAGCAACTGTGTGTGTGCGTGTGCGTGTGTGTGTGCGTGCGTGCGTGCGTGCGCGCGCGCACGTTCCTCTCAGATATGTGTTTATCCGTAACCAATGTTTACAAGGAGTGCATTATTGATATGATACACACTAAGCAGCACATTTTACATTAGTAACAATAGAGGAGCATTTAGCTGCTTTAGAGCCAGATATTTGAGCAGCTGAAACCAAATAATTTGTTCCCTGGGTCTTAAATTGACAATCCTTATTAAGATTTTGGTTCTGGTTGATTTCAAATTTCTATTTGAATAAAAAATAAAATTGAACGAGAAATTAAATTAGCTACTAACATGCTATTTTTCAGATTTTAGTTTTATTTGATAAGGGACAGAGCACAGTATAAAAATGCAAGATGTGCGGAAGTTATCAAAAAGTGCTAGGCAGGTAACAAAAACAGAGACAATACAGGTGACAAAACAATATATATGGTCGATGGACTGTACTTGTATAGCGCTTTTCTAGTCTTTTACTCAAAGTGCTTTAACGCTACATGTCACCATTCACACCTGTTCCTACCCTGATGGCAGGGGCTACCATTCAAGGTTCATTTATATACATTCATACACCGCAGGCACAGCTTGCGGGAACAATTTTGGGATAAGTGTCTTGCTCACACATCGACATGGACTAGCAGAACCGGGGATAGAACCTCTGATCCTCTGATTGAAGGCCCCCCTGCTCTACCACTGAGGATATATATAATTCTCAAATACCAAATATGCAATACACAAGTAAACAGGAAAAATACATTGTGCTACAAGTTAAGATAAAAGCAATTACAGTTCTGGTTTGCCTTAAGCACTTGTTTGAGATGGGTCTCAAAAGTACCCAGTAGCCCATTCCAGTATTTACTCCCTTTTACTGACAGCACAGTTTGTCCAAATGTGCTGCGTATATGTGCCACCTCAAACTTAGTTTATACTCGACGTAGTGAAGCCGGCGGCGAGGCACGAGCGCCAGAAAATGACGTGATCACAGCTGGCGCGTGGGGCACGTAGGCTCCAAGCCGTCGCAGTGCTTTGGTCGTGCACTTCAGAAGTTTTGTAACTTGCCGCGCGATCACGTGACTGTCACAAATAGTTCACTGATAAAAGCACTATTTACATTTCTAGGAATTATACAAAGAAGGCCAATTCACTTTTAAAAGCTTTAGCAACAGGAGGTCTTAAAAATCTTAATTTGAGTTTATATTTTGCAGCCAAATCAAATTGTTTACAGGATATTTGTTTGTTTCTTTATAATTATTTTAATACTAAATACTAATGTATTCACAGAGTTTGTGCAAAGGTAATAAAGTAGTCCATGAATGTGAGTTATGACTTTACAGTTAATTACATTCCCTGCTTGGCATTGTAGAGGTTGATTTATGGCTTTTTACCGGTTACACCTACAGTATGGGCATATCTCTGGGTTTAACTCGTCTTTTTGATTCTTCACGGTTCATTTTGTTTGTACGCCCTCTGGTATTTTAGAGAATAATGCGGCGCAGACAGTATAAACGCCTCCGTTCATGCTCGGAGGTTGCGCGCCGTCTGTGGAGGCTCACGCTTCGTCTCTAAGCACGAGTATAAACAAAGCTTCACAGTCCAATGTTGCCACAGTTCGAAACACTGCAAATATATACATATTGCAATATCAGTGGGCCATAGGCTCAATTGCCATCATTTTACCTCCTTCAGCGAACAAAGACAATTATTTAAATTGTTGAGATTGTCACTTTAAAGACAGATATGGGCCGGGTGTGTGTGTGTGTGTGTGTGTGCGCTTTTAGACCTGTGCAGAACTTCAGTCTGTAAATAGGCAACTGTTTTCCAACTTTATATGGAGATAATATGTCATGTTGTGTTTTCAGCCTGCTCTGGTGCCCCCAAGTGGCCATAAAATTAACGTTTCTCATCTTTATGTACTGCGCTTGTTCCCCGTTCCATTACAGTTCTCCTGTGTGTGCCTCAACTCAGCAACATGACGGTTGTTCTTGAGAAGACGCCAGATAAAAAACTGCACCACAAGCTTGCAGTTCCTTCAAGGTGCACGAATGAAACCAAAACAAATTAAATAACGTTTCAATGATGCAAAGCAGAACATTTGTACCTTTCTGTTCTGAAAGTTACGGAATTGTTCTATTCCCTTTAGTTGACAGGACCTTTCTACATTTTACTTTGTCCGATGGAAGCCAAGGCACACAGCCCGAGGTGGAAGATGCCTCTCGCAGAGTTTACACCTGGCAGGAGATGGCCAAGTCCGACTACCAAAGACGGGGGAAGAGGCAAGACGGAGAGAGGGAGGGACGGAGGAGAATTGCACAAAAGTGTCACTATGGCTCCCACGTCCAGGTATCTGACCGGCACACAGTACGTAACGAGAAAGCCTCTGTTCTCTGCAGAACAACACGCATCTATCTTAAAGAAGACACATCAACAGATGCACACAGAGAAGGTGAGGAGGATTTATGTACTCATTCTGTTTTATTGATTTCTCTTTTCTTTAAAAGTGGAGGGGTGTAATATTTGTGAAAAAACCTTTATTTATTCTCTGAGATTATAAAGTAAGAGATTTACGAGAAAAAACTTGGATATTCTCTGAGATTGAAGTGGTACATTTTCGAAAGAAATTTCATAGAAAAATGTGAACGTTCTCCAAGTTTATAAAGTCAGAAATTAACAAGAAAAATAAAACCTAAACATCTAACAAAAAGTTCGGAAATTAGTGTTTGGTAGATTATTTCTCTGTTGTAACAATGCTTCTTGGCAATAAATTGTATACCGTTGGAAAGCCTGTTTATTTACCTTTTTAAATGGTGCCCGATTTGTAAGGATCATGCATTTCTGGGATGAGCAGCACAGCTGAGTATGTGGGTTGCGCCCATGAAAGATTTGCCAAATCTTCTCTGCCTGAACATGTGGAGGAACGTTATGTTCAGCGATGAGTCCAGATTCTGCCTAAGGAAGTTGGATCGTAGGGTCAAAGTGTGGAGAAGACGGGGAGAACGCTATGCTGATTGCTGCACCGATAGAGTAACACCTTTTGGTGGAGGCAGTGTGATGGTGTGGGGCGGCATCTCCATCACTGGAAAAACGAGGCTTGTCTTCATTGGAGGCAATCTCAATGCAGAGAGATATCGAGATGAGATTCTGCAACCAGTGGCAATCCCATTTCTCCACAGTCTGGGACTGAACTCCATCCTCTAAGTCTCTAAGATGACAACGCTTACCCCCACAGAGCAGGGTTTATCAGAGACTACCTCCAGAATTTGGGAGTAGAGAGGATGGAATGGTCCTGACCTCAACCCAATTGAACACTTGTGGGATCAGCTTGGGCGTACTGTTCGTGCCAGAGTGACCAACACAACCACGTTGGCTGACTTGCGACAAATCCTGCTTGAGGAGTGGAATGCCATCCCGCAGCAGTGTGTGAGCAGGCTGGTGACCAGCATGAGGAGGAGATGCTAGGCTGTTGTGGCTGTGTATGGTTCTTCCACACACTACTGAGGCTCCTGACTGTTTGTTAAATGAATAAATTGTAAAATTGCCAATATGTCTTGTTTCTTCCTTGTTACTGATAGACTTCAATCATCCAATCCACCAAACGACACCAAACAAGAGTCGATAGCAACAGCAGAATAAGCTGTTTGGCATTGGCAGAGAAGATTTGGCAAATCTTTCATGGGCGCAACCCTCATACTCAGCTGTGCTGATCATCCCAGAAATGGATGTTCCTTACAAATGGAGCACCGTTTGAAAGGTAAATAAACAGGCTTTCCAACGGTATAACATTTATTGCCAAGAAGCATTATTACAACAGAGAAATAATCTACCAAACACTAATTTACGAACTTTTTGTTCGATGTTTATTTAAACAAATGTTTTGTCAAGGAACCTCCATTCTTCACTTTACAAGCCACTCATGTCTCCAAACAAAATCCAGCACCTCCACGGTATCGGTAAACTTTAGACATATGCAATATCTGTTTATACACCTCAAGTATTCAGTCTCAGATAATTTTGTCTCGCAAAAAAATTACCGTATAATCTCAGAGAATAGCCAATTCCTTTTTCTCATAAATTGGTGAGTCTTTTCTCATAAACTCTTTTTTTCACCGTTTTTTTTTCTCTTAATATTACCCCCCTCCCTTAGCTCTGTAATTTATTTAAGTATTACCTACCATGGCCCTAATATGCCGTGGTAGTTTTCCTCGTAAACTTACAAATTCTTCTGATGAACAAGTCCACATTTTAACTTCATTCTTGAATTATTTATTTTTTTTGTCCTATTTTTTTTCAGAACTGTTACATAACTGTTACATAACTGAGTCTTTAACAGACAGCAATGTTCCAGTGTCATGTTTTAATTCTGTTAGTTTCCTGCTTCGTAGGACAAACAGTTGTGTGTTGGCAGAAGAGAAGATGACCTGCAACGCGCTGATGCGAATATCTTGACGAGACCAAGATCAGAGCTGATCCCAGAGAGCTTCAGCCTCTCTCACAGTGACGTCTCTAGAACAGACACAGGCTTACCCCTGGGGGTCTCGGATCTCAGGGCCAGGCTGCACCACAAAGAACCCACTTTTGAATCACCCTACCCCGGCAGCAGATCAGCTCAGCGGAGCCTCTCCAACTCCCTCCTGGAGGTCCAGAGACTGAACCCTCCTCGCAGACCGCAGCTGAACTCAACTGTCCTGTATCCTACCTACACCCCTCGCTCAACGCTCTCCAGGCAAGGCCAGACCCAGCTCAGGCTGGGGGGTAGGGAGAGAGAGGCCAAACTGTGCTCTTCTAGGGGAGACATAAAGGGACTTCCGATGTCCTTGCATCAGGCGAACTACTGGGCTGGTGCCATCCCCAAAGTTTTGCCCCCATCTCCAGACAGACACTCTGCAGACTGGGACCCAAACAGGGAGTACCAGGCCCTGCTGGACTACACCTACCCTCTGAGACCAGGACAGGTGGTCTTTGAGGGGGACAGCTCCAAGCTCCGGGGAGACTCACTCCTTCAAACGGACTCCAACCTGCAGGACTCGGGGATCGAACTGGACCACCTTTGTAGCTCCACCAGCCTGTCAGGGTTGGACTTTTCTCTCAGCGCTTGTCACGAATTACCTGACCCGCAGGGGCTGAACAAATCCTCAGATGGTCCAGACCCCATGGGTCTGTCCATGGACAGTTTGGACTGCAGAAAGAATGGAGGTGGGATGAGTCGGTTTGACGGTCACTCCTCCACCTCCTCTGCTTTCCACCGCTACGCCAACGTTCACCCGCTGTCCAGGTGTGTGTGCAGGGAAGTGGACGAGGAGTTCTGGCCACTTCCGGATCAGATGGAGGAGCTGCAGCTGTTGTCCAGACGGGTCAGTACTGAAGGACACTCTTCACTGAAGGACCACACTGGTGCCTTAAACCATTCACTCTAAATCACTCATACTTTGCATTATTGATGATCTTTTTCTTAAGAGTACGTTTTTAGATTGCATTCATTTCCACATGGTCTGAAAATCCGCCTTCAAAGACGGAAGTACTGGTTTGTGTAGCAGTAACCTATATACAGTATGTATGTATGTATGTATGTATGTGTATATATATGTGTATATATATGTATGTATATGTGTATATATATATGTATGTATATGTGTATATATATATGTGTGTATATGTGTATATATATATGTGTGTATATGTGTGTATATATGTATGTGTATATATATGTATGTATGT